CATATTTATAATAAATATATAAGTTTAGATACTGTTTATAAATCACTAATCTGTTTGTCTCTGTTTAAATGTATTTCAGCTTGTGATTATTATCCATCGTTTGTCGGATATTTAGAGGACGTAATCTTTATTTTAAAAAAAGCCTGGGTTGGCTGTTTGACATCTAAGTTTTCTGCTTTAAAGTCCTTCAACTTTATTTGCTGCTACGCCAAAGCCTAGCTAATCGGTTGGCAAATAGTGCACTCGCCTAATCGATGGCTTTCTGATAGTCTCGATTGCACTTTCCCTATTTATTTCCCATCCCCATTTGCTGCTCGATTCACGCCTCATTTGAATGGGGCCAAAAAATGAAGGGCGACGTCAGTTTCAGAAGGGCGAGCGATTAATTATGCGCATAGCAACTTCCTGACGGGCAGTGGGGGGTTAAGCGTCCTTCGAAAGATGGCACAATGGGGGTTAAGTGAGAGGGGGGGGGTCCGTATCCCCCCATACCCGACCTTAGCACACATGTGACGTGTCGGTGTTGGCATAATATATGCATTCTTATTAACAATCTCGTCGCCATTCTGACTCTCAACAACTTTGGAACTTCCCCAACCCCTTTTAGCCCCCTTTAAGCCCCCTCCCCCTCCATTGCGGCTGCTTCATTTGGATGTGTAAACGTGTTATTTATTTTCCCCTGCCCCATCTGAGAAAGCAAAAAAAAAAACAGAAAGAAAGAAAACTGAATGTTGCCTTTTAAGTGGCAATAAATCAAATTGTCCTGTTCTCTGCCCTCTGGGAAGCTGCCTTTCTTGAGAGGACCTCCAGATGGGGGCGGTGGCCGGCGGGAGGGGCGTGGCAGTCAGTCAGCGAGCTGTTGGCAACTTACTTTCATATTTGACTTAGTCATAAAAGGCAAAAGCGATTCGCTTTCAAGCTAGCGAAGGCAAGCCAGAGTCACACAGCGAAAAAATATCCAATTTGGCAGATAAATTTTACAAAATCTCTGACCTGAACATTTTTTTTCAACAATTTATTCAATTCAAATGCTTTCAAGGTATTTTTAAGGCAGCTGTATTTCATTTAACATTTTTTTTAAATACAATGAATGCAAACATTTTTTTTTGGTAACAGTTTCCTTAATTTTTAATGAATCTAGTTTAGCTTCTGCTGATTTTGAGCCAATGCAAGACCTTTTAAACAGTGAAAAGTATAGCAATGTTACATTTTATATTTTTAATATTTATAAAGCAGATTGATTGGTTTTTGTATTGTGCTCATAAAACTGTCAACTATATTAATGTCTGTCGGCCTTGAACCCATTTACACTGTTTTGAACAATGAAAAATAAGGGTTATTATTGGTACTATTTTTCTCTGTGCCGGAAAGCAAGGACTAAAGACTAAGGATCTGGCACCCCAAGTCAGTCAGCTGTAAGCTACTGAAGTGTAAGTGTGTGTGTGTGTGTGTGAGTCTGTGTGTGTGTGCGGGTGTGCTTGTGTGTGTGGTATCGCGGCTTTGTGTGCTGCGATGTTTGTTTAGCGTTCCATAAGCTCTTAAGCTCATTTCGGTTGCGTTTTATTTGTAACTTGAGGCACACAACACACACACACCCAAACACCCACACCAAAGCTGACTTTATTTATTTAAAATAAAGCTGCCAAGCAGCTGAAATATTGAGTCAAACAATTGCAAGACGACAGCTGCAGCTTCAAAATTAAAGGAAAATCCAAAGAAGAACCCAAAGTAAGGGATAAATGTGAAAGGTAAATACAAAAGGTTAAGAAAAATTGAAGGGAGGTGGTTCTTTTTAGAGACGGGGAGTAAAAAGTATTTAATCCCGGCCAAATGTTATCAGATAGCAACCTGCACTTCTCCACCTAACGCGCCTTAACAAACTAAAAAAATGTCAACAAGTAATGTTCTTAAAAAAACGAAGGAAAGTAGGTCTCTTAGCTTCAGGGTATATTGTATTACGCGCAGTTTAATAGATAAAAGAAAATACAGTAATGTAATCAACACAATGTAAATACAATTTTCAAACATGTTCTTAAAAAAATTACAAAGCCCTTAGGAAATTGGCGCACTTTGATTATTATACATGGGAAACATGAAATAACGTTTTAATATTGCCCCAAAGTATCCATTTTAACACACTTAATCTAGAACATTTTGTTTACCATTTTGTTTCAATATTTTCTTGATTTTCGTATAAAATTCTGACTACCCATTGCAAATTTTAGCCTCAGCTATTTGTTAAATATTCTTTCAAGGATTCTCCATCTAAAAACAATATAGCGAAAATCTCAGAGGGTACTTGGCGGTCGAAACAATCGCGAACTAATATGCCCTTTTATTTATGCAAACAGCACCACGCCCACCGCCCATTTGGGTTGGTGGTGCATGTCTTTGTGGTGCTTTGTGCGCTTAGTAACAACAGAATTTAACACCTTTTGATCGGCAGACAGCAAACGACCTGCGAGTGTTTGTTTAGTTATGGCACAAAATAAATTCATGTAAGCTTCACTGAAGGGCACACCCACACTGGCACACTGGCACACTCGCCCAGTCAAACACACACACACACACAACCACACTCCCCAACACACAGAGCAAGAGCAAGCGACTCCGAGTCCGACTTACATATGCTCGTTATTCATAAACTTAATGCCAAAGAGAGCATAATTTTCATTTTGCCAGCATTTCGGGTTTTGTTTGCCCCGTTTTCGGCATCAAGCCACCCACTGGAACACCACCCAAGGAAGCACTGAGAAAAAAATGTGATTAAAGAGTGCCTGCATAATAGTTTTCTCTAGTGATAAAACAAAGATGGTGAATATGTTAATAAATGTTTGATTACTTCAAAACAGCAATAAGGTTAGCAATGTTGAGGTTTTCCTGACTTGTTTTCTTCAAGTGCCAGACTAAGGCACATAAAAGCCAAACATGGCCAAGAAACGGGCAACAAGGTGGCGATGAGAAAAGGGGAAGGAACAGGCTGCGGGAACAACAATAAACTTGTGTAGCAGCGTCGGTAAGTGGGAATTATATAAACATATACATCAGTGAGCAAACACTCACACAAGCGCCGCAGAACACACACCATCACACACACACGCAAATGGCAGCTGTTGCGGCTTCATATCGGCAGCACACGCGGCGTATGAGTAATATGCGTAGCTCATACGCCGCGTTTGCTGCGATGGCGATCTCAACGGTCGATGAGCCAACTGAATGACTGACTGAATGACTGACTAACTGCCGAACGGATGGCAGACATGAATTGAAGTGCTCTCGATGCGAACTAATCACGAATTGGGTGGAAAAATGTTTGCGAAAATCTAACGAGAGAGATGCTGGGAAAAAGGTCGACTAAAGAGGCCCCTCTTGGATTCGGAAATTAAAGAAGCTCACAAGTGCATTAAATTAATGGTTTAACAAAAATAATTGGCTTAGTATTAGCAAGTAATCTCTACATACTTTTCAACTAGGATTTGGGTGAAAATATTAACAGCAGGTTAAATAGGTAAAAAAAAAATGTGTTTGCTTTTCCCTATTTAAATTAAACTTCCTAAAATAATAACCTAATAGCTTTTAACGTAAATTCACATAAATATAGCTTGCACAGCTAAGAATAAAATCACAAAAATTTATTTTTAAAACAGCCTAAGGTTTTGAAACACAATTATTTGAACATATTTTTTTACTCTACCAAATTAAATTATGTACTTATAACAAAAAACGATTCTCGTTAGTTCTGCGAACTGTCCGCGACTTTATGACCCCTGATAATCACTTTCGCTAGAGCTTAAAGGTCCTAAGGTCAGCACATCAGCTAAGTGGAAGAACCTCCTCGGGAGTCGCTGCTTTTTTAGGAACTGGGGCGACTGGCCTGGTTCCTTTCCACATCCTTGCATTTGAACCGTTTTCTTATCTGCTTGTCGGGGCATTCGCTCGATTCGTATTTCAATTATGCATTCCGACAGCATGACCATGGAAGCTGCAGTGCACCCCCCTCTGTCCCCAGTGCCATCCCCGCCCCTGCAACTCCCCAGTTTACCCCCTTTTCGACCTGCTGCAGTGCACTGCAAACTGCAGAGGAAAATAAAAAGCAAGAGTGGGGCTGAGGCGAAAATTTCTGTTACATTCCGCATTCCGGTCATTAATACGCCATCAACATCAAAAGCTCGGGGGAGGAGAAACAGATGGGGCAAAGCTAGAAAGGGAGAGAGCATAGTTGGCCAGCGTCATAGTCATAGTTATAATGATCGTCATAGTCTTATCCACTGCCACACAGTACAAAAAAAAATGGTAAAAATATATTGACTTTTTCGGTTACTCTTTAGTATAAATCTCAAAATGTCTGTCAGTTCCAAAACTATTTAAAATTATAAAAATAAAGGTAAATTTCAGCAGAAATATTTCGCTTTCTCTTAATTATTTTTTGAAAATAAGCTTTTTGTGTTTATAATGTTTAACATTTCTGCACTATACCTATGTTATTCATGTTATTTAGTTAATAACATATGTGTGTATTATTTAACGAGCCCTGACATTCACATAGAGTTGTGACCTTTTTTGCTGTGTACATCATCATGGCCACGTCTTGTTGGCCTGGCCGGCAGAGTTGGTTTTTTTGTTGCTGTCCGGCAAACACGCACGGACGGACTGTGGAAATGCAGCTGGAAAATCCACCCACCTTCCTCTTACCCCCCTTTCCCCGCCCTTCTGAAGCGGCGGAAAATGCGAGTGTTGTTGCCATTTGGTCTGTGGAAAAGTTGCACGCACGGTCGCGCACCTGAGTGAAATAAGATGAAATGCTAATGATGGCAAAACACTCAAATGCCGGGACTAACGGTCCCCGATAAAGAAGCGATACATTCCTCGAAAATATGGGGTAGCTCTCGCAACAGGATTGTCACAATCCACAGTCGAAAACTATAGACGGAACAAAGGGATTTGAATTGTGGAAATATCGAAATATCATTCATCAGTAGTTGTTTGTTTGTTTCCCATCATCGTTTGTAAATTGTTATTTTGTATTCAGTAAAGTAAGTGAAATATGGAGCATAGAGCTTCAACGGCTGAGTCCCCGGGTACAGTGGAAGCCGCAGAGAATGCAGAGAATCCAGCCCTCTGTCCAGTGGCCCAGTGCCGATCCGTGGTGAAGCACACCCACCTCCTGCGGCACATGATCAGCGATCACCTGGATGCGAGGACACGAACGCTGCCCTTTCAACTGCGCCTGCGCGAAGTGGTCAGTGGGCAGGGCACGCTGCTGATGCTCACCTACCGCCAGCTGATCGTCGATCATGACCAGTGTTTGGCGGTGCTGAACTGGCGTCCCGACTCGCCATTCGACCTGGTGCCACCGCAGTTGGACCTGCCACCGTGCCACCAATCACTGACCCTCAACTTGCCCGTTCTGGTGATGGTCTGCAGGACCACGTGGAAGGCACTTCTCAGCCAGGACAACGAGGACGGCCAGAATGGGGAGCACAACAAGGACAGGGATCTGACCTCCGAATGGGGCACCGTCTACTTGCTTTGGCTCGTCTCTCCCCTCACCCGACGACCCATAAATGCCAATCTCGCCGTGCTGAATAGCCAGCTGCAGTGCATCGTGCGGCGGAATCGTCGCCGGATCCGGAACTTTGCCAACCGGATGCCCATCAGCCGGTTCATCAACGGACTGGACCCGTTCTTTGTCAGCCTCAACGAGGATCAGCTGGACGAAATGTGCGACGGAAGCGGGCAACAGGCCACCGTCTTCCTGGAGGTCACCATTGAGGGGGAGTAGCTCCACAAGGATGTCTTCAATTTAACCCATATACATATATATTTCATGTTTGTAAAATTGTCGTAGTGATTTCTAAGCAAATTTTAAATGTTCTCTGTAAATTAATTACTTATCAACTCTACACGCTGAATTTAAAATGTGTTTTTCTGGCAATAAAATTTCCATTGAATTTTAAATATTAAATTTTAAAGTTGAAATCAGTTATACTTAAAAATGTGACCTTTCTGCAGGGCGACTGCCTCTGTTTTGTGTTTTTAATATTTGCAAATTTATGCAAATTATCACAGAGCCGACACAAAAGTAATCGGCAACTTTCGAGTGTCCCTGTGCCTTTGGAGCCGGTTAATAAGTTAAAATCAATCTGGATTGGGGTGTGAAGCGAGGGGCGTGGAACAATTTGGCACCTTGGCACAATTTTGGCAGCGGTTTATGGCCCACATTTTGGCATTATTGATTCCGCTTTGCCAACTTTATTGCCCCTTTTTCTGCTTTTTCTGGGGCATCACTGTTTTTATGGGCCGAACAGACACCGGATTCCTTGAAGCTGCAAATGTGCCATAAATTGTTGTCCTTTATGTTTTTATGTCCTGGCAGTCAGTCGACAGGATGGCCTCGGCGGCCAGATCAAATCAGATCCGATCCAAGTTGAGTATTTTAAGTGATTTTCCATGTCATCGTGAGGTTATGTGAACGAGGAGTTAAGCTCAACATTTTTCGACATTGCAATTTGTCAGATTAATAGGTCATTGGGTTTTAAATTAAGAATTTTTGCTCATCTTAATTAATTTAAATCTTTTTTTTCAGAACACTTACTAAATTTGCAATCAACAGAAATCCGTTCACATTAAAACTAAATAATAATTGGCTTCCTTACCAAAAAGTTGCTGGCTGACAAAAAGCTTGTGTGTAAAACTAAAACAGGTACTTTCTAAAGAGAAACTAACTAATTTTAATCCTTAAATCAGCGGCAGATAAGGCTTAATATCAAACTACAATAGTTGCCAGGCAACTCAAGAAAATGTGAAAGCAACTGGAATGGTGGGGAAAAATCTCTACAATTTTTACCTCCTCCTTTTAAGTAGCCAAAGAGGTAGCTGGTAGAAAAAAAAAACAAGAAACGAAAAAATGGAACAAATAAAATGGGGAAAAGGAACGAGAGTAGACAATGGCAACTGCCGGGAATGTGGGCTACTTGAGATCCCAATATAACGCGACGACATGTTTACGATGCATTTGTATCTGAGCATAACACCCCTTACTTTCCCTTCCCTAGTCTCATCTTCATGTTTTGTATGCTCACATGTTGGCATTTTCATTGAGGAGCAGGAGAGGCAAACAAAAAAAAAAGAAAATCAGTAAAGTCGGCGCAAGGATTTCAAATTCCCAACCCCCATTCACTTAAACCTCCGACTGTCCGTCCGTTTCCCCGTAATTCTGTCCGTAAGTCTGTCCGTAATTCTGTCCGTCCGTTAGTCTGTCCGTCCGTCCTCCTGTCCGTTAACATGTCCGTCCGTTTCCATACGTGTGCGTGCTCCAAAATCGAGAAACATCCCTTGGGTGGGGCAACACGGACAACGATGAGGACACATAAAGGCTAAATTGGACTTGAATGTGCGCCGTGGAAGACATTGGCCGGCCAATGGACAAACACTCAAGTCATTTATCCCACCCACAGACCCCTAAAAATATCTGGCAACCGCCGGAGCCTATTGAGTTGGAAAATTCAATGGATATATAACCATTCAATTGCGTCCTACAAGTGTATAATTACGCCTCGAAAGCGGAAAGGTAGGAGTATGTATATTTGGCTATGGCCCATCTCAATCCGAATCCTTTGCCCACATCTCCTGCCACCCAGAACGTGTTAACACGAAGGCTGAAACGTGTACTTTTGGCCGAGTGAGTGGGACCCATCAAAAGTTTTTGTTACTATTCTGTTTCGGTTTGCCCACTCATCACTACTGATTTTTTGGGGAGTAATAGACCTTAAGTCAATTTTGAAATAATTTTTGAAAAGCCAGTTAAAAAATGTTAGACTACTAATGTTAAATTTTTAGTAACAGCTATTTGAGATGATTAAAAATTATATGTGAAACAGTAATCAACACTTTTTTATGTTACTTCTATATTCGTTAATTTTTATAGTCATATGTAATTAGTATTTTTGTTATTATCCAGTACTAATTGTCGTTCCCCTCAGAAAAAGGATTGCAACTCGCTTGTTATGTGAGTTTACTGGGTATTTCAGAGCTTCATTGTTTCGGTCTTACCTTTTTGTTGCAGTCTAGTGTGGAGATGTTTGGAAGGCAGGCTCCCAATTTCTGGACAACTCTGGCCAAAATGAAGACGCCAGCCTGCCCCGAGGGTCCAACAAAAGGACAAACAGACGAAAGACATCTGGAGGGGACCAGGGGATTGTCAAGTGTGCTGCTGCCCTAAAAGGTTGTTCCAACTAAATGAAAGAGCTTCAAGGTTGTGCCTGCGAGCCACATGAGCTATGCTGTGCATGAGGGTGAGTGACTGTCAGGCGCTTCTCCTCGCTGGAATCACTCGGAAAATGCTTTTTCTTGGACATGATTTCCTTTAGCACACAGCGAAAAACGGATAATTGCTAGCTTGAAAGAAAATGGTTGAAAATGATCAAGAAACCTGTATAAAATGTTTTAAATATATAATGAACATTATAAAAGGAAAACATATTTCTGTTTCTCATATAAAACTTTAAGATCTTGATACTTATTTATTTTTCTATAAAGGGGTGCCAAAGAAATCACATATAAAAGTGAGTAAAATTCGCAGCTTAAAGAAGGGCCTTGGGTTTCAGAATGAATTCAACGGATTTCTGGACTCAAAATGTATTACTGCATATTTTACATAGTTCCGTGAGTAGTTTTCAGATCCTAGTGTTTTCTGGGGCACCTCATTTATTTTAGTAGTATCAGAAAGTAAGCTCAAAATTACTTTCTGTGCAGCAAAAATTTGGAGCCTCTTCATTGATGGCTGGCATAATTGTTGGACAGGAATCACATGGAAGGTCCACTCGAATAAAAGTGCTCATTAAACGAAGATAGCTCAAAATTCGACTCGATATTCGAAAGCATTTAAAGCGATATTCGCCAACCCCTTGAACTTTGAACTTAATGCACATTTAAATGCGGGCACTTGGTCGCAGTCTGTTTGTCCAACTTTTCTGCTGACTTTTTAGACTAAAAGTCAAATATTTCATTTGGAAATTCCTAGCGACGAGGCGAGAATGAAATGTGAAAATTTAACCCACACACACAGGGACACACATATTTAGCCACAATTTTCAAACTGTAAAAACCACCCTAAAAACCACCCACTTTGGCGGCTGCTTAAAAACTATAAATTAAGTTTACAACTTTTCCGCAGAAACTTTTTTTTGGTGTCCTCCACCGTTACTGTTATTTTCGCTGTTCTATCACAGTGTGACAAAATGGCATTGTCAACCCGGAATCGGAATAGGAATCTCCGTCTCCGTCTCCGTTCCTCCATTCTCTATTTCTCCGTATCTCTGAGTTTCTCCATTTCTCCATCTCCGGAGGTGTATATCAAGTGCTAGCAAAAGCAACTTTGACATCCATCATTTGGCATCTGTGGCACTTGTTGACCTTTGTTTGCAACACGACACAAACAAGAAGGCGAGGCGAAAAATAGGTGCAAGTGCGGGTGGGTTCACAAGGTGGAAAATAGGGCAAAATATCTGTGAGGAGGGAGAGTGTACAGCTAATCAAAACGTCGCAGAAAGTTCATTAACAACATTTTCCAGTCAATTGTCTTGTCAGCCGAAGGAGCGGGGGAAAGCACTGGCAAATAGAGAGGAAACAACGAGACAGCCAGCTTATTTCTGCAGATATGTATTTTTGTTTGCACCTGCCTTGGGGGCGGGGCCCCGCCCCCATTTCACGACTTTGGGGTCGGCGGCTCACTTTGTTAACAACTTGGCATAAAGTTGTTTGTCTTTCACCTCGGCGTGTCGATGACATCACAACGAGGAAACCGGAATAGAAAAGTAGGGGGAGGGGTGGAAAATCCAGAGGGAGGAGTGCAAATTTATTGCCAGGCAAATCAAGTTAACTTAACGAACTGGACCAAAGGCACAGACCACACCAAACTATTAGAAACTTTATTTTCACAGGCATTCACAGTTTTTTTTGTAAAATTTTCAAAGAAAACTCATGATGAAAACCTCACGAAAAATGTGAAAATTGGTATTTTAACCATTTTCCGCTCAAAAATATCAGTATTTTTACGATTACAACGCCAATAATTGTCCTATAATGGAATGGCATACCTCGTTGAACTCGTAACAAAATTTCCAATCGAACTGCATTCACAGCTTTTTTTGTAAAATTTTCAAGAAAACTCATGATGAAAGCCTCACGAAAAATGTGAAATGTGAAAATTGGTATTTTAACCATTTTCCGCTCAAAAATATCAGTATTTTTACGATATCAACGCCAATAATTGTCCTACAATGGAATGGCATACCTCGTTGAACTCGTAACAAAATTTCCAATCGAACTGCATTCACAGCTTTTTTTGTAAAATTTTCAAGAAAACTCATGATGAAAGCCTCACGAAAAATGTGAAATGTGAAAATTGGTATTTTAACCATTTTCCGCTCAAAAATATCAGTATTTTTACGATATCAACGCCAATAATTGTCCTACAATGGAATGGCATACCTCGTTGAACTCGTAACAAAATTTCCAATCGAACTGCATTCACAGCTTTTTTTGTAAAATTTTCGAGGAAACTCATGATGAAAACCTCACGAAAAATGTAAAAATTGGTATTTTAACCATTTTCCGCTCAAAAATATCAGTATTTTTACGATTACAACGCCAATAATTGTCCTATAATGGAATGGCATACCTCGTTGAACTCGTAATAAAATTTCCAAGCAAACTGCATTCACAGCTTTTTTTGTAAAATTTTCGAGGAAACTCATGATGAAAGCCTCACGAAAAATGTGAAATGTAAAAATTGGGATTTTAACCATTTTCCGCTCAAAAATATCAGTATTTTTACGATATCAACGCCAATAATTGTCCTATAATGGAATGGCATACCTCGCTGAACTCGTAACAAAATTTCCAATCGAACTGCATTCACAGCTTTTTTTGTAAAATTTTCGAGGAAACTCATGATGAAAGCCTCACGAAAAATGTGAAATATGAAAATTGGGATTTTAACCATTTTCCGCTCAAAAATATCAGTATTTTTACGATTACAAGGCCAATAATTGTCCTATAATGGAATGGCATACCTCGTTGAACTCGTAACAAAATTTCCAATCGAACTGCATTCACAGCTTTTTTTGTAAAATTTTCGAGGAAACTCATTATGAAAGCCTCACGAAAAATGTGAAATTTGAAAATGTGGATTTTAACCATTTTCCGCTCAAAAATATCAATATTTTTACGATATCAACGCCAATAATTGTTCTATAATGGAATGGCTTACCTCGTTGAACTCGTAACAAAATTTCCAATCGAACTGCATTCACAGCTTTTTTTGTCAAATTTTTGAAACAAATAATGGTGAAGTCATAAGTTAAAATTGTTTAATTTTCGTCTTATTAAATCTTAATATCCTAAATCCATATCTATATTAACTAGCTAAACTAACTTCATATCTAAGCCAGTTTTCTCATAAGGTGAAGACAACACATGCACCATTCCCATTGAGTTTTTTCCATTTCCAAATTGAATTTTCCTACGCTCAGGAATCCAGCGGACTAACCGTCGACCAAGGGTGTAAAAATCAATCAAACAAAACGAACTGACACTTGGACAGACGATTAAAGGAAATGGAATATGGGACCGGGGCAAGGCAACTCGATATGCAAGTAAACGAAAACCAGACTTTGGGAAAGACAGATGGAAAATCTCATGGATGGGCTGGGAAAGCTGGGTAAGCGAGGGGAAAATAAGAGGGGATTTTGTCATTGTTTCGGTCAAACGCACAACAACAGAGCGTTAAATTCACACAAAACGAGCAAAGATAAGTCCGATTTTGATTCGGAACCAAAGACCTTGGACAGCCATTGAAGCACATCCTTGAAATTGTCCGAAAAAAGAAACTGAGACAATGGCGAGCTTCGAGATATTGGGTATTTTTAAAAAGCCTTGGAAAGGTATGTCAAAAAGGCTTTCACAAATGTATTAAGAAGTTTTCGTATAATATATAACATACTTAGAAATATTCCTAATAAAAATTAATAATATAATTTTGTAAGTCTCGATTACAAGTAAAAAGTTTTCCAAAAATAGTTTTGATTATTTATATATATATAATATATTATATTAAAACCTCAGTACTCACATTACTTGGCAACTTATTTAAAAATTTTTAGAGGAAAAACATAAAAAAATCTAAAAATCACTGGAGTTGATAAAACTGATTAACGAACTTTCTCTCTTCGTTTTTTGCAGCACTTACCCACTTCTTTAGTTTTTTCTTCCATCAAAACAGAAAGGAGAATGTGTGTGTGTGTGTGTGTGCTAGACCAATATTTTTATGCAGGCCATTAGCAGCATAGATTATTTTTGCATATCAAATGGCCAAAAGGAGTTTTCCGACCCCGCCGCCCCTTGCCCCTCCGCCCATCCGCTTTTCCCCATTTTCACAGCACTCCAGCCGAGTGAATGAATCCTTCAGAGCGGAGGACACGCACAAAAGCGCAAGCAAGGCAAACAGGTCAAGGATATTTTGCATATGTGAGTAGGCAAAACGAAACAAAGAGGGGGTGTCTAGTGGGTGGTGGTTGGGTGGTGGGTGATGGTTGGGTGGCTCGGTAGTTGGTGGTGCAGTAAGGATTCCCTCATTTCGACTGCCATTGTCACCATCAGTCGTCTGCAGCGTCATCTTCATCTACAACGTCATTGTTGTTCGCCACTCGAAAGTCGCACAAATGAACGCGTAATTGTTTGCACATGAATACATTGAGTAAATATTTGCAAACACATTCAGCATTCCACCGGTTTTCCCCAACTTTGCCCCGATTTTCCCCTGATTTCCCCCGATTTTCAACCGATTTTCACCCGCTTTTCCTCGGCTGCATCCTGAGCCGAGCTGAGCCATCATCATTTGCATGCCGGGGCAAAAGACTTGAATTGCATTGCCAAGTCAAAGAAGGCCTTAATCTGCTTACCTTGCCTCGGTGACATTTCTTTTCACTTCCCCTCTTCCCCCTCCCCCTCCTCCTTCCCTATCCCCCCCTCTACCCCACCACATCACACTAAGGAAAATGGAAAATCGCTGGAAAAGTTGCTTAGCTTGGCAGGGCTTTGCTTTAATTACGGCGTCCCCGACTTTGAGAGCATAAACAAATTGCAAATTGTTTATGGCATGCAAATTAATCAAATCTCTTTCTCAATTAAGCCTGCAAGCCAAGAAGCCAACAAGCGAAGGAATTGCAGTGGGGAGAAGTGGAAATAAAGATGGAAAAAAAGCAGGATAGGCAAAGTGAATCGACAGATGGCCGGGGCCAAAAGGAAAAAATTGAAAAACAGAAAAATATTCCAGTAAGGGGTCAGCACTCGCATAACTCAAATGCTTGTTTTCTTTTTTTGTCCCGCATTGTAAAAGTAAACGGAAAAATTGATACTCAGTATTAGCAAAAAAAAAAGTAACATGTTGTCGAGTTTTGATACCTTCTGTAACTTATTCCGAAAAACCCTTTTAAAACAATTTCTTATTATAAATATATTTAAACTACCAAAAGACACATTTTATTCCCATTATTACGGATTGTTATACAGTTCTATAGAAACATAAGTATTAACTATTGTTTTTAAATTTGTTAAACACACAGAAACGAAATGTGTTTTATATAAAATCCTTGAATATATTATAAAGTCTTTAACTCATAAACACTTCTAAAACAACTAGCCTTAACTAAACTTTTAATTTCATTAAGCAATTTCAAATATTAAAGACATGTAGGAGAAAATAGTATGGAACTTGCACAATCGAAAGAACCTTTAGATGGCCATCAATGATCCAGAAATGGACGATATGCTGCGTAATTTTGCTCACATGCAATTAAATTCGCTCAACTCAGTAATTTGAAGCTGGGAAGTTTCCATTTCAGAACCCGAGGGGGGAAACTCATGTAATTGAGTGTAAACTTGTCAGAGCATTTATTTAATGCCTAATCAAGTGATGTATAACACATGACTTACCCACTTTGCCACCTCCACATTTCCTTTGGATCGGACCATTTTGCCATGGGTTAAGGGGATGGAGGTGACATTCGTGTTCTTTGAAGGGGGTTAAGTTAAAGTGTCAGTTGTAGCTTGTCAAAGTTCTGTTGTCCAATTAGCATAATTTTATGTCTCAACTTTAGCCCAGATGCAACAGATACGGATACGAAAGTATCTGCGACACATCTAAATTGCCGAATGCCGGAATTCGCTTAAAGCTAACAATAAACTGTTCTTTTGTTCCTTTCATTACGAAAACTTATCATTGGCTGATGGCATTTTCTGCTCAGATGGATTCCCTCATTAAAGAATAAAATGTAATTATTTTAGATGTGCCAGCAAAACAATTTATCATTGGGATCTAGTTGGGGATTATGGGTGGGATGAGTGTGTCTAAGCAAGTTTCTGTGGGTTATTAGCAGTGCTGGAAAATTGTTGAAACATTTTCTTTTTTTAAGATACACTTCACAAAAAAACTAAATTGGACAAATTATGGAGTATTGTAAATAATCTTTTGAATAGATCTACATAAATATTTTCAATTTAAAAGAACTGGAATAAGACAAAGTCTTTGACGACTCAAGAACTGGAAAATATTTATCTGATAAAAAGGCTTTTTGTATCCTTTGTCAGGCCAAGTTCCCATCATGCAATTTTCCTCGACTATTAAGGCCACTTCGATGGCCATAAGCGATTTCAGCCAGGCCAAAGAGAAATATCAACAGCTGGCGAAGAGCGAGCCAAGGTCGTTTGCCGGGGGCTCTCTCTTTGGTTTTGGGGAAAACTCGCTGGGAAAACTCACCACGCCGACAAGGGTTTTCCGAGGCGACGACGAGGGCGAGATACGAGGCTTTTCCGTGCGGCATTCAGTCTCACGTTGAACTCTGCTGCTGTTTGTTGTCAGCCGGCTGGTGAATTAACCCCAAAGCACAGAAGCCATCCGATTTGGCCATCTGAGCCAAGTCAGTCAGCCGAAGAACGAAGGACCACGACCACGACAATTCGCGACGTGTTGTTATAGACCACAAACCAGAAAACAGAAACTAGAGGTCCTTAAAGGTCCTGTGATCGCGTGACAATAATTGTTTGTGTCTCGGGACCTAAAAAAAAAAAAACAGCGAAAAAAAACACCAGGAAAGTTCGCTGATTTCAGTGCGCGCTTTTCCATTATTTTCGTTTTTTTTTTGTTTTTGTTTTGTTTGCCGGCACAACGCACACCCACACACACCCAGTGATAATGTTAGTGATGATGAAAATTCAATAACAAGTGGAATGCAACAAATGCGCATGAAATGAAAAATTTGTCCACACAAGTGTGAAAAACCGAAAAGTAAAAATCAGATAAAACTGAGATAATCAGCGAGCGAGCGAGGCGAAGCCAAAAAAAAACCCAATCAACCAAATAAGCTGGGGGCAAAAGTGCTCAGAGAACGGTTAGTAAACACAAATTGTTTGTTTTCGTGGCTTTTTCGTGTGTTTGCCTTGAATTGGGGACTATTTTCTTAGTAGCTGATAAAAGCAGAGGAAAAAGTAAGGGGCCATTTCAAAAACCCCCAAGGCCAAACAATCCATACGATCAAGTGGCCTTTTTTTTTTTATAATGACGGAGAGTTAAGTCAATACTATTATTGATCTTAGCCGTTGCTTTTGATAAAAGAAATTCAGTGGTATTTGGGCAACATTATTTTTATTTATTTATTGTATTTATTTTTATTTATTTAAGAGATGAACATATGTCAAAAGTTAAATTGCAATAATTTTTGGCCCATTTATTACAAAAAAAAAACATCTAACCGCCAACGGAATTTCTAATTTAAAACAGGCCAACGGCTGAGTTTATTTTATCACGTTGGATTTATCATATTAAGACGGTGGTATTTATTAATACAACTGAACGGCAAATAGAAGTTGGGAATGATCTCTTGACCAAAATGTTTTGCAAACTATCACTGCCCTTGCTTTTGTGATGATAAATATTTTCCGAACCCAGGACTTTTATCTAGGACCACCAACGATGACAGTTTATTTTCCGGACCCAGGCAAATCAATTCCGGCATCTTAGACCTCACCATAACCAGTTGTAAATCAGGACTTCATAAATAAGAAATTGTGCAAAATAAGTGACTCCATCAGGCAGTGTTAACTATTCTATCCTATCCTTATCCCCGTTGTGCCCGGAAAAACAGGACAAGGACCTACATGATTTATAAGGCACATTAAATTGAATATTCAACATAATGTAGCATTTAAATGACCCACGCACAGCCTGCAAATGTATATCTACATATATATTATACGGAAAAATGGCAAAAGTCGCCCGTGAAGGTCGTCCAAAAGGGAAAAAGGTCTTGAGGTGGCTTTATGGCTGACACTTGGCCATATTGTTTAAATGCGAAAATCGCTTTAAGTTTCGCCAACGATTGAATTCCTTTCGCGGGCCAAAAAACAAAAAAAAAGAATGCCAAAAATATTCGCACACTTGGCGTGTGCGTGTGAGAGAAAGTAATTTACCAACGCAGCGGCAGCGAAAGCATCATAAATCACACGTTCTGCCCAACTACAACTACAAAAAGTGACACCCGGGGGGCGGGATTTTTTTTCTCGAGGGGGGTGTGTCGCGTTACGTGTCCAGGTCAAATGTCAAAAGTCAGCCAATTTGGGCAACATTTTGACAGACACTGCGCTTAGCCGCCGGCCCGCTGTTCATCGTTGTGCAACACTGCCAAGCGATTATCGCAGGGGCGTGATGAGTTACTCCTTTCCCTAGGGAATTACCCGAGATTCATAGTCCCTACATCACCAGAGATTACTTGAATTCACAAGCCAGCAGAACTTCACAGCCTGTTACAAGTGAAATCCCAAATATTTATATACAATCTTTTATACAACACACACAATTTTGGAATATTGGTTTTATAATGCAAACACAAAAAGTTTCCCAAGACGAAAATATTACATAAAAATAAACCTACAAAGAATTTTTCAATTACATTTTGTTTTTAATACAACTATTTCTGCAAAGTTACATTTTTATCAAAATACTAATAAAATTAAATTCACTTATGATAGTGTCAACATATTGCTATTTAAACTTCCTATGAAGCATGAAAATTTCATTAAAAAGTTAAAATAGTTTTGCAAATTACTTAAACTTCTAGTGACGTAGCCTAGTAGCGATAACCATGCAAGGCAATAATAACTTTACTCAACCTAACATTTTCAACTGTTTAATTTTTGAACGAATCATTATTAAAGTGAGCAATGAAAAATATTTTTTAGGAAATTAACAATTGGTTGCGGAATCAAATTCTCAGTGTCTAAAGATACCAAATGAAAAATAGAAAAACATTTTTTTCCTGTGGACTTCATAAGCTTTTTGTTAAGTAAAGTTATTAACTTTCGAGTGACTCTGATATTGCCCATAATCCATTCTCCAACCTCTCTTGACCCGCAAATCATATTTTCCGGCTGTGAATTTATGAGTTGCCTTCCTCTCGGCAAAATGTATGGCCCCGGGTTAACAAGATGTTTATAAAAATGATATTACGATTTACCTAACCCACAGGAGGACAAGCACAATGTGTGAAATGGATGGCGAAGGAGGGGGTCTGGGGAACCCAAGGCCATTAGACAACGCATTAATCTAATCATATGAGTTTGTCTGTCTGTGTGCCAAAAATCATAAACTCAAAAATGTTGGCTACACAAAAAAAAGACGCACAACACACAGAGACATTTGCAAGTTGATTTATAAGCCCGCTGATGTCAGTTACGTGCAAAATGGCAGCAAGTTTTTGGCCCACGCACGCACTCAATAATGTTGCGAGCATGGGTTAAGGGTTTGATGGGGAAGGAGGGGCTGGAGGGGATGGATGGGCTGGCGGCTTACCTGCTTTTGTGTTCCAGGGGTGAAAGGTTACTCGCGGGGATTTGCCAGAGCCAAAAGCAAAAGCATTGCGCAAATTGCTTGCAACACTTTTTGTGCCATCCCCGACTGCCTTGGCTTTTATAAATCGTTTAGACACCACCTCCATTGCCGGGAAAAGTCCCCATTTTCCCCCACTTTCCCCACTTCCACCCCCTGAATAACAACAGAAGAGCGGTGGCGACAAGTCGAGTCAAAAGAAGCCCGAAAAACAGGAAGCCACTCCCCTTTTGCCCCCATTTGCCTCCATTTCAGGCGCCACTCAAAACACATCCATCAACAGCGTATTTATATGCGAGGCGAAAGGTTAAAGGTGTTTCCTTATTTTGTTCTCTTTTTCTGTATCCAGAAGCCAGGCTCCTAATTGTCAGGACTTTGCTTTGGCTTCAGCTTGTTTGGCCCTTGCATACTTTTGTGCGCTCGTCGCGTAATGAAGATAATTGCTGCTAAGCGGATCCTGCAGGATTTCTGAGACACCTCCGCATTCTCACACCCATTCATAAAATCCACAACGTTTCCAGCCCGCAAATTGGGAGGAGGGAAATGGCGGAGCACCTATTTATTTAAATTTAATTCAGACTTTGCTAATTTAAATGCATTTTCTACATTTTGGTTTCCTAACACTGCAATAGCTCTCATCATTATTTTTCATTTCCGCTTAAGGCTTGGCAATAATTTAAAAATCTATTGAAAATAGTAGAGTGATAAAGCTTAGGGTCAAAGTTATAATTGCTATTTTATATTTTATGTGTTAGTATTCCTAGCTTACAACTTCCTAATTGTTTTCAGAAGTTTATTCAATTTTTTTAGCCATTCCGAAAAACTTCCGACTGTAACTTTAACAACTAGTGCAGTTAATTAGTTTTCGAGTTTTCCAAAAACCTTTTCCATTGACTATTGTTTTAAGACTTTAAGAATACCAACTTTAAATGTTCGCTAAGCCCTGTTTAAGAATTCACATAGCTGCAGCTGCTGCTTCACTATTTTATTTCCCTTTTCCCTCTTTTTGTTTTAGTTGCTTACTCATTTCGCCGTTTTTAATTTGCCCGGGATGAAGGCTTTCCTTTTGGAGCAGCATCTCTGGTTGCTTAAGCGAGGAGGGCCTGCATTAATTAAATTCTTTCAGGTGATAAAAGGTGTCGAGTCTGCAGCTATTGTTAATGCAGGGGAGGAGGGAGGCAGGCTAATTGGTAAATGCTCTCAAGTGCCTGGCTAACGAGGCGTATGCGTAATGCGAACAAAGTCTGAAAAGGCAGTTGCCTGGCCTAATCAGTAGCAGTTCCTGCTGGATCACTATTTGAGCTCTAATAATCTTGGGCATAAATTCTGGTTGAGTTGAGAACTTGGCCTTCTGATTTGCCTTGCATATATTAGGATTTATATTCAAATTTTTACCCAAAGGGAGGGGGAAAAAAAAATTGTTTACAGGCGTAAAATTATTGTGACAGACGTTAACATTTATGACTAAGAAGCACACGACAACAGGTAATTGTTTTTTTTTTCTCTCAGTTGTCTTCTTTTTTCCATGTCTTTTAGCTATACGCCTATTTTCTACTTTATTTTTTGCTTCATTTGTTTTCCTTTTTCGGTCTCCTGCTCTCGTTTGTTGGCATAAATTTATTGTGTTCGCCCGCCTCACGCATTTGCATAAATATTTTAATTTGCATTTCAACGAACACGAAAAGCGAAGTGAAGGCAGACCATAAAATCCATATACCCAGAAAATAAATACACGTATATAAGATATGTATAGCGGAGGACTGAATGAAAAAATAATAATCTGTAAGAATCTATTTGTAATCAAGGGGTTACAACTATCTGGTGATTTTATATATATATACATACATATATTCTTCCATATGCAAATGGTTTATGTTTGGCAAAAACAAATATAATAAGAACTATATTTCCTATCAGAATCGAATTTTGTTTCGGGATTGGCATTCAATTTCTCGTTTAGCCGCGAACGGAATTCATTTTGGAGTTGGTTTTCTTTTATTTTGTTCAATAGGGTCATTTTAAATTTATGAGCCCGCTTATCTCCATGGAAACACTGGCTTACGGTGTCATTTTAACTTGTCACCGATTGTCTCACAGCTTCAATTAAGCTTTCAATTCACATTCAAATTTTTTTTTGGAGGGAAAAACTCATTTGCAATTCGCAAGTCAGTTGGTTCAATATTGACTTTGTTAAGACTTTTGCTTTGGCCCCGAAAATCCATAGATCGGTGAAACTTTAGCCAGGACATTGCGCATACGACACGTAGCCCCGTGAAAGTTTCCAGATTCTTATCATAGCACAAAAAGGAGACAAGCGGAGGGACAAAGGGAAAACAAGGGAGGGAAAAAACTAAACAAACAGCCCTCGCACAGGCAAATATGTTTTCATTTTCTCATATCTCCGGCAAGGGGACTCCATGTATGAGGGAAAACTTTCCATTTCAAAATATTTTCTTAGCAAGCTTCTCATTGCTGGCGCTCCTCTCTCTACATATATGCACAAGGGCA